AAAAATAGCCGGGCATTGTGGTGGGCGCCTGTGGTCCCAGCTACTTGGGAGGCTGAGGCAGGAGACTCGCTTGAGCCCAGGAGTTGGAGGTTACTGTGAGCTGTGATGCCACAGTGTTCTACCCGGGGGACAGCCTGAGGCTCTATCTCAAAAAAAATTTTTTTTGAACTTTTGCCAAAAGAATTTATAAGAATGTAAGCAAACTCACATAAATATGCAATAAAACTACACTGAATTTTATGTTAACCATATGCATTACATCAAAGTATTCATAAAGTTCTTTATACTTTATAATTTCAGATATAAGTATACAAATTTCATCAATTTTAAAATACATGGCTTCAAATGTATGAAAAGTATATGAAAAGACAGTATGAAGCATTTTACAGAGCTAAGAAATAGATAATTAGTAATAATATGAGGTAAAGTACCATTTCTAGTAATCCTGGATCCTTAGTCATCACCGCTCTGCCTCAAGAAACACTTAAATGAGCTGTCGTTTACAGATATAACGATTTTTCTTTTCACAAGATTCATCAATACTACTTTTTGTTGCACAATATAATATGCATTTCTTTGTATCTGAGAGTTTAATCAATGGAAATCTGTAATGAAAAAGAAAATATTCACATATGGAAAAAGGAAGTGAGAATTTACAGGGGTGATTTTTTTTTTATTAAAGCATAGAACTTTTATAAGCATTTAAATGAGATATTAGCATGTTGAATTTTTTTCCTTTCCATAACCACAATTTTCATGCTTCCAAGAATACAATATCCCAAACACACTCGGTTATTTCCTTACTAATCAGTAGCACTGAGGCCAGGTCTTTTTTAGTTTTGCCATTGTCATTAATGGTTTTGATGGGTGCAATGCTTTACTTCTGTTTTATTTAAGATGTATTATCTGGGCTCACTGCCCGAAGCACAGTGGTTATGGCAGCAACCACATACACTCAGGCTGGCGAGTTTGAACCCGGCCTGGGCTAGCTAGGCAATAATGACAGCTGCAACAAAAAATAGATGGGCGTTGTGGCAGGCACTTTTAGCCCCAGCTACTTGGGAAGCTGAGGGAAGAGAATCGCTTAAGCCCAAGAGTTTGAGGTTGCTGTGAACTGTGATGACATAGTGAAACTGTCTCAAAAAAAAAAAAGTATTATCTGATTTAGTCTAGGAAAACAACTAGAGCATAAACTCTGACATTGTGTGATGCTGAAAATCCCACATTTACAAGTGAAAATGAGATTCAAACATTATAAATATATAGAAAAATAAGCCCAGAATATTTAAAAGATGAGAGGATGCTGAGAATATTGGGCTTCACCAGAATAAAATATAATGGACAACCATTTTCTCTGGACTGCCCCGTGCATGTGAGCACCTGTCTGTACATGCACATGTATCTCTAAGTGTTTTATTAAGGCAAAACTAAAACTTATGTCACAAGGTCTTTTATGATTACAACCACACTAACTTTCACGTCCTTGAGCATAAATTTAGATATTATAGGGAGGGGGGGAAATTGTTCTCCTGTTGCACCTTCTCTTTTTTCTGTTTTCCCATGCCCTAGGCAGGTTATTTTAGTTTCAGTGTTCCTAAATGCTACCTCCACTAGTCAAATCTAAGGATAAATTTTCAAAGGTCAAAAAGGCCTTTACTACTAGAAACTTACAAATCCTGTAAAAAAAGAGAGCCATCCTCCCAAAACCAGGCAGCATGTTCTTTGGACATACCATTTTCTCTGGACTGCCCTTGTGCACATGAGCATCTATCCGTACATGCACATGTATGTCCAATTGTTTTATTAAGGCAAAACTAAAGCTCATGTCAAAAGTTCCTTTATGATCACAAACGCACTAATTTTCATGTCCTTGAGCATATGCTTAGATATTATAGGTGGAGCAAAAACAGTTCTCTGTTGCACCTTCTCTTTTTTCTGTATGCTCATGCCCTACACAGGTTATTTTAGATGCTACTTTCACTAGTCAAATCTAGGGATAAATTTGCAAAGGTCAAAAAAGGACTTGACTACTGAAAACTTACAAATCCCGCGAAAAAGAAGAGCCATCCTCCCAAAACCAGGCAGCGTGTTCTTCATCGTATATGAGTCCAATCCAGTAAAAGTTTTGATTGTAGGGCATAAAATCCTGCTTAGAGTCAGAGGCAAATATATTAGCTGATTTGAATATTTTGGGGGCATAACATCTTTTTAAGGACATCTGTGTTCAGAGTAAGATTCAGCTTGTCCATGATACAAATTACTTTTAATTGCCAATTTAGAAAGTATAGTCAGATGCCTGATATTTCTCATTTATCAGGCCCATTTATTTATGGAAAAAAATACTGCATAATGTTACTTCTTGAAGGAATAAAAAAACTTAAAGGAAGATAGTTTTCATGGTATGCTCCCTTCACAGGGGATCCATGATCAATTTGGTCCCCAATTAACACTATCATGAAGGATGAATCACAGGGTTATAACCTACTCAACCTCAACTCAGCACTGACATTGCATGAAACTGGAGAATTTTTCCCTTTTTCTTAAGAGGTGGGCAATTTTTTTTTTTTTTTTTTTTTTT